TTTTTTTTTTTTTTTGCAGCGCACGTATTAGATGAAGGTAGTTTCGGTGCTACGAATATAAGACGAAAATACACCTAATTCCGTCATCATATAGATATAATATATTTCACTCTCACCACATAAATACAAAACATCCAAATATCCAAAACATTCAGAACAAAAGTTAGTAGCAAGGGCTCAGCGCTTGATTCATTCATTATTTTTTTCGACTAGTTGCCTAGAAACTTCAGACGTAAATAATTTACAATAAAATTACTATTTTCTTTCTGTCCAGCTCCTTCTGTCCAGTTCTGGTCTATAATTAATTCTATAAACTACAGCAACCATTCCACTTTTTGTAATTTTTTTTTTTTTTGGTTACAGTTTGGTGGCACGTATTTATACAGTTTGTAAACACCATGTGTTAAAGTTTAAAGAAAGAAAAGAAACTTAAAACCAAAGTAAAGAAATATTTTTTTTTTCCAAAGAGCTAGCTAAGTACAGCATCCCTTTTCTGGCAAATTCAAGTACCGAAACTGAACAGGAAATATTCGATCCGGAATACTAGAAGATGAAATACATATGTTTGTGGAGAAAATAGCAGTAAGAGTTATGAAGGAAAAAAAAAAAAAGAAAAAAGATTGTTACATAGATGTATTTTAAAGTACAAAAATAAAAACAAAAGATACGCTTTTTATATTTTACGTTCGTTTTAAATGAAGTGTGAGCGATATACGACAGGGTTATTTCAGGAGGAAGGAAGGCTAAAGATTTTTTTTGATTTAGACGCGCATTGAAATTATTTGGAAAAATCAAATAGAAAAAAAAAAGAAAAATTACCATCGCAACAGATCTGGATGCAAATCGAGTCGCGACTTCCATTATTTATCTGCAGATTTGCTTTTGCAGATAAGGTCCGCAGAACTGGCCCGTGGGAATGCAAAAAAAAAAAAAAAAAAAACTAAAGAAAAAGGGGCGTTGTGTTATCTCGAAGGGAGAGACAGTTTTATTCAAAATCTCTGCAGCCACTGGTTTCTGTCTCCCCGCTTCGTGCGTGTATTTTCAAGGCAGTCCGTTCCGGCCCTTCCCACATTCAAGATTTATCGTGAAAAATAAAAGTTGCTGGGCGTTTTCCTGGCTGGTATTAAGGGCAAACGGCAAGGACGTTACCCAGGGACTGCAGTGCAGTGAGTGTGGGTGAAACGGGGGCCACACGTGGAGACCCCAAACCTTTGTGCTTAGGAGTCACTGAAGCCTAAGGGGACAAAAAAAACGGGCATCACCTGGCAGCTCCATCTTCCTCTCTCCGAAATCCTTCTTCCTCTCTTGGCATTGGCTAAAGCCATCCGAAAGAGCCCGGCCAAACCGCACCCCGTCCGCTCTCCCTCTCCGTCCCTTTCCTAACGGTGTCAAAGCAAACGAACAGACAAACACCACCACCACCACCTCCCCCCC